AATTTGAGGGCGAGGGACTTGGGTCACAAAATCTGGAGAAAACATGGTTCAAGATACTCCAGAATCCTAAATTCAGCTTGAAGAGACTTTATCTGTTTTGGCTAGGGTTACCAATTTTAGCTAGTCATACGTAATTTACTTCTTGTTCTCTTTTGTGTTCAAGTGGACTGAACAGTTGAATCCTGCTTTAACCCCCACACCTATGGGAAAGCTGACTGAAACAGGCTAATTTTTAAGTTCATTTTAGGTGATTTTGTCCCCTGCTCTCTCCCCTCCCCTAACATGCCTGTGTTCCACAGGAGGGGGAAGTGGTAGTGTCAAGTTCTTCAGCTCTTGAGGTTGTTGGAAAGGCACCTGGACTTCATTTCTCTCAAAATTTGGACATGAAAAATTTCAAGTTCTGGCATTTTTGTTGTCCTCATGTATGACAAAGTGACCTAGGATGCCCAAAGCTCTCCAAGACTGAGGTGGCACAGACCGTGACAGAGGCATTTCAGATCATCGGATTGGTGCTGGGAACTCCTCACCTGTTGCAGTTTCCTTGGGTGTTCTCCTCAACTGAGGTGTCCAGAGCCCTGCTGTATTAACACTTCACCAATCCTCAACAGACCCAGTGATCCAGGAACCCCTCTCTGAGATTGCAGAAGCCCAGCTGGACTGCATCCTCCCTCCTGCAAAACTCAGACAAGCCAACTTGCCACAAATAGCAACATTGGCCATCCCAAAACTGAGTGCAGACCAAAAAATTCAAAGATTCACTTCTAAGAATCAAAACTTTATAATAAATGGGCTAATCCATCCAGGCAAATTCTCACTCCCTTTGTATTTAACACAATAAACCCTTGTTGACTACATACAACAAAAAACATTGAGCAAGATCAGGTAAATGACTTAACATGATTTTGTGCCCTGAATATTAAGATGATTTTGGACTGGAGTCTTATGATTAGCAGTAGATTAAACACAGTCATACCATGTGAAGAATGAATACTCCCCAAATATATGGAAAATTATTACTGAAGAAATCTGACTTTTTTTGATATTATCTGCTGAATATAGCAAAACAATCTGATCCAACATACGTAGATATTCTGCATGTCATTTTGAAATTATTGAACACCTTAATGGAATAATTTGGTTCAGATTCTATAAAACAAGATTTCAAGCGCTGTTTTCTTCTTTCTTTTTTGTTCTCCAAGCTCACTTCTCAGCCTTCTGGGCCAGGTAAAGATGCTTTACTGCTTCAAGGCACAAGAGATTGTTTAACAGTGTTAGGAATACGACTGGCATAATAGTCATAATTTCTTAAAGTGGCAAGGACCCCAGCTGAATTCATGTGTTTCACTTCCTTGTTATACTGAAATGAATTTCCATGGATATCAGTTATCTTGCCTGCAAAAAAAGAAAAAAATTATTCCACCAAACAGGAGTTGGAGAGAGATAATCTATTAGTGCAAGTGATGTAACTAAAAAAAAACCATGCCTGTCTTCAGATGTGAATCATCTTTGCTCCTACTTTAAGTGCAACAGTTTTTTTTTATTGACTGAAATCAAATAACTAATGGTTTTCTTTTCTTTCAGCAATACTTAAATTCCTTGTGTTTCAGGAAAAAGAAAACAACATCTCTCTCTTACAGATTAATTGAAATGTTTCCTGAGTAGTTTATACATTGGCCATTGACAAGAAGAAAATAAAAATCCTCAGTTCAAGTAAAAGCCAGGGTAAGTCTATAGAACAAACTCTAATGTAACAGAGAAATAGCCCAGTTGGTTTTAAATGAGTTTCTAGAAATCACTTGGCAAGAGCAACACAGATCTTTATGCAAGCTAATTTAACCACAAGATACCTACATAACAAGGAGGCTAAATACAGCACTGTGCTGCCCCAGATTGGTTACTTTTTTGTGCCTGAACTAACCTGTTTAAAGCTATCCCAGTTATCAACACTAGAGACTGCAGAGAAGTTAAATAATATCATTATGAAGCCTGTTATCCTTGCTTGACAGAATTTAGGAGATCAAAACCTGCAATTTTAGCACATGGTAGTAAGAGGTCTAGCAACATGAACAGCAGAGAAAGTATAATACTTATATTCAGATTCTTGTTGGTGAGACTTTTCACAACTTCTCTAACCCCTTACCCCCTAGAACGGTGAAGTGGCTTATGTTGGCTGGAGACCACTAATTTTACTGAATTACATGAATGACTCAATTTTGAAGTTTGTACATCCGAGGAACAACTGTATGATTTGGCCTATTTTTCTTGTTTTAAAGAATTTGATGTCCACATATTACATACGTTACTACTAATAAAATACTATATCCAGTTAGTAGGACAGTGTGATTTTACTGTGAAATAGTAGCCAACAGAAAAAAGCTACTTATTTTGAAAATATTAAAATTAATATACCCAAAATTTTGGAATTTGGCTTTTTTCATTATTTGACAGTTACTGACTGTATTAGTCTGGGGAAAACCAGATCATATCATGCTTTCCAGAGCATAATTTGCTGTCCCTTTGCAGTTACTGTTGATTTCAAAGGGTTCAAAGCTCCTAGTGAATCATGACTATTTAAAAATGCATATGTACTGTCATTTTTCTTTCCAAAGACATGTTTGGAAATTCTTATTTCCTATGAAAAGTATAAATAACTTTAAATTCATGCAGCTTCACTTACCTTGGAATTTTGAATGCTATTAACTTACCTCCCACAGCATGTAGAATAGCTTCAGGTGCACATGTATCCCATTTCTTGCACCCAGGACTGGCAAACACATAAGCAGATGCCTTGCCTTCTATAAGTTGAATGATCTGTTATGAATAGAGAGTGGCAATCATTGCAAAGGATCTAGGAATTTAGAAATGGGTAAAAATAACACCAGGAAACAGGGATTAAATCAGTTTATTCTGTGTACTTACAGTCAGAAAAAGAACACCAGCCATTTCTGATATTACAAGAAATTATATTAAGATTTAGGAAGCTATACTGTATTACCATTCTGAATTACCTATTTTTTATTTTTATAAATCTGTCTATAGGACGAAAATCTGCTTTTAGTTTCAGAAACAAGAATTCCTGTCTTGTGCAAGTACTAAAAAAAATAAAGTGGAAACTATCTCCATGTTTTCTTGGTGCCATTCTGGACCTTGCACACATTGGAGAAAAGAGATTGGAGGATCTGGTTTTGACAGCCGTGACAAAACTAAGCTTTAAAAACTGTAGCAAATGAGTAGTCTCTGTATGCAGAGAAGTTTTGCACAGGAAATATCACTGTGTGCTTATATTTTTATCCTTTCATTTGTGTTGCTAGATAGTCGAAACAAAAACTGTATTAACATGAACAGGAGGAAATGTCTAATAATTGTGATTAAATTGGATTCACATTTAGTCACTCTGGTCTTACAACTTTTTCTGGAAACAGAATACTGGGAAAGATGGACCTCAGCCATGACCAGCACGGCCGCTGTTACAAATACACCTATACCAAATTCTCTCTACCTCGCAGCAGACTGAATGCTAGGACGAGATGTGCTGGGGAAGGAGGAAGAAGTCTCCTGTACATTCATGCAAGTAAGAAAATGATTTCTTTAAAAATCCTTTTTCCAAAGGTACCACCTCCCAGTAAAAACAAAAGATTTGAAGTTTTCATACCTTGTTTCCTGCTCCTCCAACTCTGATGACACTGTCTGGGTTCAAGGCACTGATGCAGTCATTTACCAGGGTACTGCTATGAGAACGGGTGGTAACAATGATGTGTTTCCCAGCAGGTGCTTCTGTGAGCTGAAATCCAAAGGCACCTATGCCCAGGACTCCCCAGATTGTCCTGCCCAACACAGCATCAGCTCCTGCCTATGAAAAAGGTACACAGGTCCCAGTGATGGTTAATCACAGTGATCAGCACTTAAAGCACAAATGCAAAGGAGTACTTAGAGACATCTTTGCATATGGCTTCAAGTTGCACCAAAAGAGTTGTCAGGCATTGGAATGGGGTGCCCAGGGAAGTGGTTGAGTCCCCATCCCTGGAGGTATTTAAAAGACAGGCAGACGAGGTGCTTAGGGACATGGTTTAGTGGTGGGATGGCAGGGTTAGGTTAATGGTTAATGGTTGGACTTGATGATCTTAAAGGTCTTTTCCAACCTAAACAATTCTATGATTCTATGGTATCAGTGAGCATAATATTAATACTGGGTTATACATTTAAACAATGGCAATTAAAAAGAACTACTCGACAGCCCAGAGTGAGAAATTAGCGCTCTCTCCCTCTAAGGCAATGACATAATTTACCCTTTTCTTATCTGTGACATTGTGATGGTGCATTACATCGTGCCTCCAATGACTGACAAATTAATATTTGTGTATTTCTTTACTACAGAAACAATCTGTAACTGAAGATATCTTGTAATTTTAAATGTTTCATCATACACATCACATAGAACATACAGAATCAGCTGATAATATGCATCACATCAGCTCAAGAACTTTTTCTTTAAATTCTAGTACGTTTAATTAATCAGGCTTCATCATAAGCTTTTCTTCCCCCTTGCAGATAATACTGAAATAATCTCCAAACATGTGTAAATGCCTGTAGGTTGGCCATCCTGGACTTAAGCTGATACACTCTAACCCAACTGTCAGTGACTGGTACGTTTGGTTTATTTAGGGCTGCAGATTTATGGCAGTTATCACACATCACAAATGCACCTATTGCATGGATTTACTGAAGAATTTCTAGCAAAAATAATAATCTGGACTTGGTTTACAATATGTACTTTGTAGGTACTGTGGTAATATGTACAGTGCATACATAATATATACTGTATTAGTGTATTATACAAGCCTCAGGATTCAGTATGGCTGTTAGTAGGTCCCTGAGATTCAGTTCCTGGAAACCCAAATTCAAAATTGTATAGATTTAATAAAAACACCGCCACCTTATATTACATAAGGTATAATATGATATTACAGTATTAACTCCACTACACACTGCTTTTCAGTTGAAAGTGTGCTAACTAGAAATAGCTTAGAAGTGACAGTTAGAAATCACCTAATGCTTTTAAACAAATCAATGCATTTAATACCTCATAGTTGTAATATGGCTGGTTAATAACTCCTGCTATTGCTTTGCCTCCATAAGCAATTCCAATAAGAACCGTTACGTGGTCAAGGAGACCTGTACAGAAATAATATGAACATAGTTATGCTTGAAAAAGAGAAAGTGTATGTATATATAAAAAATAAAACTTCCATAGAAAACCACAAATTGATATGCAGGGTGGTATCCTAAAATTGCAAATATTAATGAGGATTTGTGGGTGTAATAGGTTGGTTGATATCATTTTTTTAGTCATTTAGCCTTGAGTTCTGCAAAAAAAATGCCCCAGATAGAATTCTCTTAATAGAACTATGTTACAATTAACACATAATGAGAAAGAAGCTGAAAGATACAATTAAATAGCAGTATATGATTCTTCTGTAATTGTGGTGTGAATTCTTTAATGGCATTCAAAACTAGCAGTTTGTTGACAGTTGTAAATCTCTTTCCTGAAAAGGACGAAAAAAATCTGACTAAAGGATTTTACATTAATCAACTAAAAGATGCAGCAGGACGCTAAAGTGAGGTTTTGGTATATGTTTTTGGCGGGTTTTTTTTTTTTTTTTTTTTTTCCTCCCTTAATTTTAGGGTGTCTTTCTATGGACACAAATTAGGCTCTGCTGAAAACAGTTTCTGCCCATAATTTAAGAATTACAATTTAGGGGAAGTTGTTGTTTTATTTTGAAAGGGCTATAAATACAGCTGTGGTATTTGGGTTGTTTGAAGAGTAGAATGTAAAGATAATTGAGCATATTCCTGTACGAATGGGAGATTTAGTCTGTCAGTTCAAAGTATATCTAAAATTGTAAGTTTGACTAAAAACTTAAGACAAGCTGCCAGCAATCAAAGGCAGCCGTTTGCTCCTGGAAATGATAAAAACTGTTGGGCACTCAGTAGGCCATCAGGAATATTCAGGACTGGTTAGAACTGAATAGAATGATTAAAAAATTCCATAGAACTCAAAGTCCAGAAACAACATCAGCCAAAACCAATATTGTATGTAACTTCTGTCATAAAATTATCTACATATATCTCCTACTTTATTATATTGCTTTACTTTTTTGAATCAGCAGAATTAAAAGAGAAGCCAACCTTCAGTGTACTCCTTTGTTCCATCCAAGGGATCAACCCATATTACAAGCTTTAAAAATAAAAAAATTAGGAAAATTAACATACAAATCATGTAAATTACTATGCAAAGTATACATTTTACTTTAGTGCTTTTATTTCCTTACAGCAGTAAGGAAATAAAGAGATTGAAATTTTTAACATTATGATACGACTGAAGCCTACAACAGTATTTTACACAAAAAAGCTTAAAAACTGACTGGAACTTCTCGGCAATTGTCTTAATAGAGGTATGAAGGCTTAAACTGAACATGGAAATGACATTACTTTCTTATGTCCAAAGTAGATTCCTTCCAAATAAATCTGAATCACAAGTTGTAAGAAGTAAATTTCCATTTCCTGTTATTGCACACAGGGATATGCAGCACTTCCAGCTGTGGAGTTGTTTTCAGTTTTCAAGCCAAAAAGAAAAACTGGCAACATTGAAATAACCTTTTTTCTTAATACATTCTTAACTAAAATCAAGAAGTAATATAGATAGAGTGTAAAATATGAAGACATATGTATGGCATTACTGCATTACCTCTTCCTCTTTAATTCCTGTGTACTGAGCAGGACAAGTTTTCTTCAGTATTTCTTCACAGTGACCATCTTCAATTAGTTCCTCAGTTACCTCATCAGTGGACAGTTCCTAACAAAAGGATTCTCAGAACTGTTAGAGAAAGTTTTTGGCCTTGCCTTGATTAGCCTTAGAACTGTGGATTTGCTTGCAGCTTACTTGACAAAGCTAATGCAATGGAAAGATGAAATGGGATGAAGTAATTTAAAAAAAAATAAAAACAAAAGAAAAAAAAAAACAACCAACCAAATAAAAAAAACCCCAAACCCTCAGATGATTTCCTAAAACCTGCCAAAGCAAATTCCACTGCAACTTACAGCAAGTTAAATTATTAGTATGAAGTAAATTAGGTACTTACTTCTTCTCCTATGATTGTCATCTTGGGAAACTTCCGTGCCAGGGAAGCACAAATGCTCATTTGTACCAGTCGGTCAGCTTTGGTCTGCAAGTCATTGGCTCCAGTCTGTAAAAGAATGGATAGGAATGTGTGTATTTCAAAATTTCAACAACAACAACCCAGTACAGTGGCCCATATGTCACTCTCAATATCTACCTTGTAATGAAAAATAAGTCTAATTTAATAAATCATCAACCTAGTAAGTGATCTTGAGAGAGGCAGGCGAAAAACTGAAAGAAGCAGAGTTTCCCTGTAGACCCCAGAGCTAAGATAGACTGGTATGATATTAGAACAATATTTACATGCTGCATTCTTCTCATGGACTGGAGCAATTGTACTGAATACGTATTTGTGCAAATACTACACTGTGTACAGAATAAATTAATACAAGTATGAACCCAGATATAATACAAGAAGAGGGAAAAGCAAAAATTAAGATGTTAACAGGAAAAAATAAATATTTTAAGGCTCACTGGAGAGACATGGCAAATTAGGAAAGAGGAGAAATACAGGGAAGGTGTTAGTAAAAGGTGATTTAAAGGTCCAGTTAATCTAGCTTTTAAAAAAAATGGAAACAATTATGAAGTATAAACTTCTAAACAGTGAACGGTTCCTTCATCTAGCAGAGAAAGACCAAGGAAGACCAGAAGCTAACCAGTAAGATTCAACTGGGCAGTAACATCCATACATTTTTTCCAGCAAAAATATTAAGAGGGAAAACAGTGGATTTGGTGTCTCCAGATTACATGAAACAACGACTGAATGCCTTCCCAAAAGATGCAGTGTAATGAAACATATGTTGCCAGGTGGATTACAGCAGTTTCTTCTTAAATATTAATATATTTATCTGCTTGTATCTTACTTGGTGACAATCTTAATGGATTTCATTTAGAATCATGTTATGGGTTAATTTTTGCATGCTCAAAATCTAATCTTATCCAATTGCCTATTTTTATGAAACTTGATATTTTTTCTTTTAAATTTCCTTCTCATCCCCTAATAAATTTGCTTGAATTTGGCACTGAGTTTAGACTCTGAAAGATCAAGTTAATGCAGAGAATGTCCTTTGTTCCAGGACACCAACCTAATAAGACAGTATAAAGTAGTTCTTCAAAACAGTCATCAATAATATAAGAATGGATGGATAAAATGTCTACCTACCTACCTACAATTGGAAGGGCAAAAGTAAAAATGCTACAAGGAGAAGCAATATAAATGGAGAACTTGGAGTTGACTGGGGGAAAGAAAACTCTGGACGTCAGGAGAGGAAGGAGAGGAGCTACCTAAATATTCAAGTGCCCTTGAACTATTTTTCCTCATCTAGATAAATGGATGGGAGGTCAATGTGTTGAGGGAAAAGGTGGAACGTTGTCTTCCTAGCTTTTCTAAAGCTTTCAGTAAGGTCAGTTGGAATTGTTCTTGATGTTTGCTGACTGCAGAAAGAGGATGAATGATGAGAAGCAGCACTTTCTGTTCCTGTGCATCTCTTCCCTCCAGACTCTAAAGCAGAGGCACATATAGGTTCTCTCTCTTGCATTCTTCCTCTTTCTTCACCAGCCACCTTTGACAAGAAGCTTGCAGGAATTCTGAGATTGCTAGTCCCTCCAACAGGAACCTCTTCTGTCAGTCACTGCTTCCAATCTGATTTTGTGTGTTTGTAATATTCATTTAAAAAAAAAAAAGTATGTATAACCAGTCTTATTTAGAACCAGTATCACCCGTTACTTTTTATCATTTTTGCTGTACTGCATTTACAATTATTTACTTAATTGGTTACAGACCTTAAAATGTGTTTCTTTGCTGGTTTTATTATATTAGAGACTGGTTGAGCAATGCATTTCTGATTTATGGGGAAATAATATTAACACATGGGCTTTTTTCTTAAGTGAAACCAAATTAAATGGATAAAAGCCAGCATTTAGTTTTAGTTAAAATTACCTTAACCTTGCTGGACACTTAAAAAATAAGCTTAATGAAACTTGTTTATGCATTTAAAATTAACTGGCTAATCAAACAAAGTACACACAGTGCTTCCTTTGTATCTCTGGTGCAAGTATTTTAAGGCTTTCTTATAGTGAAAATGCATTAGTTTTTCTGAGAACCTAAAAGCAGGTTATGTGGGAGAGTATATTCTACTTACTTGCGTCTGAGAATCCTGCTATGCATCTAAGTACTTCTGAAAATACAGATTGTTACTTTCCAGGTTTGTTTTAATTATCTCCTCCATACACCTGATTTTAATTGCTTAGGAAAAAAGAAATAAGAAAGTCTTCGAAATGTTTTCGTAGTGGTGAATATAACTGACCAAATGGGGAAAAAATCTTTTTGAATCTCCTGTCCGAACTGACAATAAGTCATAAAGGATCAGGCTTTTCTTCACAACTAGCTGAAAGTGCTTACTGTCAGAAAAATTACATGTAAAGACCAAAAATAATATAGATACTTAATGCAGTCCCTAATACTGTGACATACCTGTGAAGCTAGAATAACCTTCAAAAGTTAATTCCACCTATTCTAGTACTGTAGTCAAAACAAAGATCCTGCAGCTTACTAAATTACAGCAAATTAAGAACTTCATGCAGATGACTGTAATTTCATTTCTGTTTTCTATTTAGAATTAAATTTGAAGCTTCACATTTCTTCTGAAAACTGTGATTTACAATAAAATCTAAGGTTCTTTTTTGTTTTAAGAAACTAAACACTGATTTATCCTAATCCAAAATTCATCGAGGGCACAGTACCTTAAGCTGTACTACAGATGTTAGAACATAGGTATAGAAATTAATGGGAAAGGTACATTATTATGAATTCTGAGGTGCTATCCAGAGCTTGTGTTTTGTGAGGGGAATCAGGACAAAATTATGGTGTGTTTCTTTTAAGTGTCTGAACATTCTTTAGAAATACTGGTCAAAAGACACTTCTACAGTGCTTTTTTAATCCTCTAATAAGAAATATTTCTTGTATTGGAGAGGTGGACTGTATTTCCTTCCCCAGTTGCTGATCTTCAAAAATACCACTTTGACCTATATCTAACTACGCATTAATAAGAGATTAAATTGGAACAAAGTGAAAGTAATACCTTCTCCACTATCCCCAGATCTCCTGCAGCCATTACATTTCTAACAATTGTTGCAGCTTTTTCTGCAACAGAATACGCAGAGGCGACCACACGCATGAGTAGAGCTGGAGAAGCCATACTGAATGCTGAAAAGAAACAAAAAGCAAATTTGTACATTTCTCTCTTCACCAGAAGACAAGAAGGAAAATTTTTTACGTAACATTCCAAACAGATACAGTTTAAGATGAGTAGGAAGGGGCAAGTGAGAAGTAATGAAGTGAGCTTTGACTTTTTTGAAAATACAATGAACAAACACAGGGATATAAAAGCTATTGTAGATAAGATTTTTCAAATATCCGTGCTCTGTCTGACAGTGAACCTAGTTCTCCTCACTGAAATAAAATCTGGCATTAAACAAGAACCAACAGCAGCAGCAGAAACTCTTTATCATAAATGTTTAAAAGTGTAGTCTAAACACAGTACTCATTTTTTTGTACATTTTGAACATGAGTTCATTTTTTTCAAAACTGAACCTACAGAGTTGGTTTGTGCCTAGACAAGCTAAAAGTAAAGCCTAGTAAAAGGCTACCAGACAGGATGACAAGAGCAACTTTACTTACTATTTTTATCTGTTTAAATATAAAATAGGCTTTTGTAAATGGCCTAATTGTGGACACAAAATAGGCTAATGATGGGCAGATACTGCAAACACTGCGCTTGTATGCCAAAGTCTGTTCACCTAAATTTTACTGTCCTTTCTGTCTTTAACTTTTCTTGATGCCTTTAAGGTAATGTATTACACTTTCCTTCCTCCCCTCAACACTGCATGTCCTGCTACTCTTCCTACTGTATTTTCTTCTACATCTCTTCCCCAGCACACATCGGTGCAATTCATGAGGCCTTCGGTATGATATACTTTCAAGTAAACACTTGAGCACAGAGCTAGAAAAAAATACAGAGGAACTCATTAGTCACACCACATAGAAGACTATGTATTAGACTTTCCTCGCGATCAATATTTGCAGCAATTGCAGCAAGTATTGTGTAAGTGGCAGTAGGTCATTACACAATACCTTTCCTTTCTTACTTGAGAAATCTACTCGGTGAAGTATAATATAATGAGGTGATAAGGCTAGCTACTGTATAAGATATGATGTGACCTCAAGTACACATCTGTTTACAGCAAACAGCAACGTTACAGATATCAAAATCCCAAATTTAGCTGGTTTAAGAACTTTTTCAGCATTTTAGAAACACTGAATGGATATCTCTAAATTCAGAAGATGTCTGAAGCTGAAAGAGTAGAGTGATTGTGTGAGTACATTCAAAAAGCAGTTGCTACTGTTAATTATTATTTATTGCTCATGGATGGGAGCAAAGTGCTCTGGAGTCCTGTAAAACAGGCAAGGTCCATACCCAAAGCATACACGCGAGCTATCTTGGACTGGTAACGATGGTTTCAGAGGAAATTTTGGGAATGCTACCTGTGGCAAAAAGCAGCTCTCAAACAACTGAAAGTTGTAGAGCAAATATGTGTCATAACAGATGAGAAGACAGATACTATCTTAACTTGCTTCACATGGCAGTATATACTTAATAGGAAAGAAAATTGAATGTAGTTCATGCCATACTGAAAATACCTGGAATATGAGTATTTCTGAGAGAGAGTTAAGAAAAATAGCATATTAGATGAGAAGTTTGGGTTAAAGAGTTCAGCTCAGAAGAAGATAATTAAGTTTTTATGCTCAGCTTCTCATTCTCCATTTAAACTTTTACTGCACATTTGATCCTGCTTCATAAAATGAGGTTAAAATTGACTTAATTGTTTTAAAGGCTTGATGTATTTAATGTTTGCATAAAGTTTCAAAAGACTCAAAACAATACAGAAATACTATCCTACATTCTTGAAGCTTGACCCAAGTTGTTTCTTGGGCATGTTTTTCTTGGACATTCTTAAGGTAAGCAAGTATACTTTCCTGCTGTAGGGAACCTATACCCAAAATCTCTAAGCAAACCTTAAAATTAAAATACTCTTATGAAACCCAAGATTTATTAAGAGAAACTGAAACGGGAGGTTCAACACCCCCTCCTCCCCAATACAGAGTACCTAACTAATTAAGTGCAAAGGATGTTATTACTGCAAAAGGTGCCTTAAAGTTTCCCAGGGCTGCATCTTCTGTGTGGTGCATCTTGTGGTACACCGGACCTTTTTGGTTAGCTAAGTGTGTGTGCTAGTTGGCTGTTCCTCAGCTCTGTAACTTTCTGATCTCAAATTAACTAGTTTATTTATAAGTTTACAGCACATTTTTTCTGATGAGGGCAATGTCCAATGTATGCTTCCACAACACATTGAAGCATATATTGCTTGCTTTGGACAAACAAGTGTTACTCTTACAAAACTGTACAGTTTCCAAAGATTGGACAGCAACTATCCCTCAGTTTAAATTTGTATATTATTTTCAAAACATACCTTGTCCTCCAAAGACCATCCATCCTTTCTCCTAGCCTAGCAACTGAAGTGTTGAGTGTTGTCAACTTGACACATCAGCCTGCTTTGATACCTACTAAAATACACAAGTTCTCCAGTTCTTGTTACACGTTTTAACTTTGAAATATTTAAGTATTACAGGATGGCTATAGTTAACTTATCGAAACAGGTACGAAGGATTTGTTGATGTTGCTATCTTGGTGTCTTTTCTGCAAACATCCTGATCTGGTTAAAGATGTCCCTGCTCACTGCAGGGGGGTTGGGCTAGATGACCTCTAAAGGTCCCTTCCAACCCAAAACATTCTATGATTTTCCAAATTCACAATTTCACCTGACGAAAGGAGAATACGGGCATCACACACAAGCATGCCTTGACATGCAAGTGCTAAGCTGTGACTTCTTCCTCTGAATTCTTCCAAGCCCGAGCGACTAGACCTCCCCATTTCTTTAGAATAAACTTTGGCACACGTTTAGTGAAAGATAAACCTTTCATTCTGCGTGATGTACAGAAGCGGTATTTACCCAGCGGAAGCGGGCCAGGACTCGGAGCGGGCATGCCAGGGTCCCGCTGCGGTTCACCCACAGGCTTCCAGTGGGGAAGGGCCGCGCTACCTCATTTCACCGAGGTGCTTCGAGGCCTTTTGAGTTTGTATTTAACCAAAAAAAAAAAAAAAAAAAAAACAAACCCCAAAAACCAAAAAACCCACAACCGAAAACCAAAAAAAAAAACCAAACAAAACCCCACCAAAACTTCCAGCCTGCTCCTGATGCTCTTGTAATTACTGTTCCCGGTGGCAAACCGCCCGCAGCGCAGCCCGGCCGGTGTTACCGAGGAACGAGCGCTCTCTCGCTGCCTTCAGGTGAGCCTTGCGTGATGTACAGCGGGTGACGGCAAAAGCTCGCAGCTGC